TTAATAACATTAAATTTTGAAAAATAAATATATATAAATATATATATATATATATATATATATATATATATATATATATATATATATATATATATATATATATATATATTTATATATATTTATTTTTCAAAATTTAATGTTATTAAAAATGTAGGTTTTCCTTTTTTTTTTATTGTTTCGGTTGCATTAAAAAAGACTTTAAAACACTGAATGTAGCACATCTCATTTGAAACAAATCTCCATTCCAACAACACACCTATGTAAAGATTGCTTTAAACAAATGAGTTTTATAAACGCTTCCGTTTCCCGCTGTACACTCGTTATTGTAATCAAAGCTGTAAACACTTCTGACTTAATGGCANAATTTTTTGGTTCCCCCCCCCCCACCCCCCGGCCCCCCCCCCCCCCCATCGAAATGACGGGTCTGCTTCTAATCTGTTTATGAACTAATGCATTCATACAAAACACTATTCGTTTAGACAATTGAGACTTTTCGCATTAAAACGCTGCATAGGCATAAAGCTATTTGTATTTGAAAAAGACGGCTTGCTGTGGCTGACTGCTTGATTGGTTTACTTCGCGTCGTAATAACACCGAGTCAACACAGGTCGTATTTCTATGATCGGGGCAACTTTAATTTACAAATATATCTCCACACACAAAATGTTTCATTAACACGTGTATAGCGCAGCTCACTATCAGAGAGAATAATACACAGCTACCTTCTACATAGAGAATAATACACAGCTACCTTCTACATAGAGAATAATACACAGCTACCTTCTACATAGAGAATAATACACAGCTACCTTCTACATAGAGAATAATACACAGCTACCTTCTACATAGTTCTTTCAACAACTTCTTAATAATTAGCACGTAGGCAACCAAACAGACTGGACAACTACGTCATGATAACCTTACAAATCCGACACCATGTAAAACGCGACAAGAGCCATTAACTAACAAATGAACTCTCTCAAAGCCACGCTGCGCATTATGATCCATCACAATATCCATTCGCAATAATTATTATTGAACTCCAATGCTTGAAATTACCTTGGAGATAGACAACCGTGGTTGACCGATGCGCATGATTGGGTTTTGAACTGGGTATGGACCATCATGTCATCAAGAAGAGGCTCTCAAAGAACTCAATTTGATTATTTTATACTGTACATATGCATCTTATTGTTTTAAATTAAACACAAATCTGCACTCTTAAATGTCTCTACTTGCTCTGTGCTGTGATTTTTCTTTGTTAGATCTGCTTTTTTTGCATGATTACCATCCAACCATTTCTTTCGTTATTGAGACTTTCAAGTGAAGAGAATTTGTATCACACCAATTGTTAAGCGTGCAAATAAGTCGCGTTTTAATTTTTCCTGTTCATATACTAAGGCGACGTTGGTGGTATCATCAGTAAAATTTAATGATTGGAACAGTGTTGCTTGCGCTCTGAATATCAATGGTATATACTGTATACCGGACTGGGAAGAGAACGCAGCTTGCATGAATGTAACATAATAAATATATAGGTCATGTCACGTGATAAATATTTTACCTGTTGACATTTTACTCTTTTCTTGCATCACCTGTAAACTTTGTAAACAAGATACGTCACAAAATACCAAGCAATCAGAAACAGCTGCACAAATACCCTACAAAATAAACCTTTTTCCATTCCAAATATTCACGTCGCTAAAGCTTGCTCACAACTGCTATTAAATAGCCTTAAACAAAACACTTGTTTCACTTTATTGACTAAATCATCCTTGTTTACTGTCCATAAGATTTTAGTTTTCTATTTTGGATCCGTAAATCTTTACTTTTTTAGTTTAGCTTGTGATTAAATTTGTATTGATTATGTACTCTCTCTTACTTTGAATGAAACAGCGTCTCAAATAGAGACATGAAAATGAGAATGACAACATAGGTCACATTCTCACACCGTTGGCATTTGGACTCAAATATGTTTTCTTTTTATGCTGTAAAAATATAAGAATATCATCTAAACAAATAATAAAAATATAAAAAAATTCACACGTTATCTCAGAAATTCAGAGACTACGAAAAACAAACAACATAGCATGTACTTGCGTAATTTAAAATGACTCTCGTAATAGTGTATGATGCAAATGTCAATTTTTGTTACACATTTAATTCAAAACAGGAGTGATATTTGTTTAACATATGTCAAAAAATCTTACTTTTAACATATTTATTATCTTTGTTTAAACATTGATTTTGTCAGTGTAGAGTAGCCCTGCACAGTTGCACTGATCATGTGGGTAGTTTGTTATACTTTCAACATTTTGAATACTAGTCCTGTGCTCTGCGGTAGACTTTTAAGTAACACAATAAAAATGTATTTTATTTTAGTGAATATTCCCTTTACATGATCATTTTAACTCAGAGAAAAATTTTAAAAAGCTGAAATGTTCTTCTTTTTTTTTTAATTTCATTTATGATATAAAAATGCAGATACATTTTTGGTTTTCCCCTACCCATTTTTGGTTGTCCCTACCCATATTTGGTTGTCCCTACCAATTTTTGGTTGTCCCTACCCATATTTGGTTGTCCCTACCAATTTTTGGTTGTCCCTACCCATTTTTGGTTGTTCCTACCCATTTTTGGTTGTCCTTACCCATTTTTGTTTCTCCCTATCCATTTTATCCTTATCCATTCTTGGTTGTCCCTACAGATTTTTTGTTGGTCCCTTTCCATTTTATTTTTCCTTATCCAATTTTGTTTGTCCTTATCCCTTTTTGTTTGTCCCTATCAATTTTTGTTTGTCCCCTATCCATTTTTGTTTGTCCCTATCCATTTTTGTTTGTCCCCTATCCATTTTTATTGCTCGCTTCCTGTTTTTAAAGAGAAAATGAGTGGCATTGATACGAAATGAACAGACATTACAATAATTCGTGTATTTGAAACGAGAAACATTGAGCAACACGAGTTGAACCAAAAGTTCACGTAAAAGTCTGCGGATCATGTTAAAAAGAGCACCTGTGTTTGAGGGAGAGTGGCTTTCATGACGTCAAAATTAATTGTTTTTGTGAATGTTTGGGAGCGGTTCAATAATGGTTATGCTTTTGTGTGAGAATGTCAGGTTAAGGACAGAGGGAAGTCATTCAATAGTAGTTGGGTTCTTTTTGAAAACCATAAGATTGAGGGCAGGGCGGTAAAGGGTTGCTGGGGACTTGTTGGAGAGATTCGAGCTTTGCAAGGCTGCCACACTTTGGGCATTTTCCCAAGATCTTGAGAATTCACTACCCCATTCAGGACACAAACTCACTTTAAAAAAAAAAATTCCCAAGATTTAAAAAAAGAAGAAAAAACCTTTTATATTTTCATGATCTTGGGAAATCTTGGGAAATATTCTGACAAAATCTTGGGAATTTTTAAAAAAAATGAGTGCTAGCCCTGGTAGCGTGGTATGGGTTAAGGGCCAAGGGTCAATGTATTCTTACATGGCTAAGTTCTATCATTTGGGAGAGGACGAGAAAAGGAATAATCATTACCTGATTTATATTTTATTAATAGTATGGTTGTTTTCTCGCGGCAATGAACAGACAGCATATACAAAAAAATACACATAACTTAATATTAACAAAACTGTTGTAGTTATAAAAAAAAGTAATCCTTACTCTTAGTTGTTTGTGTTTGAAATGCTTTTTCAAAAATTGTTCTCTAAATTTTTCTTTGGATGATCACTGATGATTTTTTATAAGGAATATAAGGTGTGTCCGTCGAAGGCGATCATAGTCATGGTTCTAATTCTATTTTGGAAGCGCACATAACTGATGAGACCGATACTTCAAATGTATAAAATGTTCTGGTGCGGTATGTTCACGGGGGCGGGTGGGACAACTCCCATTGTAGAATTAACCTCGGGGTTTGTGGCGTGTCAGTATTGAACGCCTGACCATGAACTTGAGATTGGCTCAGTTTAGACCACTCGGCTACGCAAATTCAATGTCAATATAATCGTATCTAGTTATGTACATAGCAATATAAATACTTAGGTCCATTTTTTTATGTAACCGAATTCTAGAAATTCTTACAACTGTTGTTAATGTAAACAAATTCTAGAAATAGGCTACTTACCACAATTTTATAGTTCTTGAGGGAAATTACCTTGTTCTTGTAATCAATTTGCTTTTGCAGGACCAAGATTCTGGAACACCCTTCCTGTCACTCCCAGAAGCACCCAGACACTGCAGTCTTTCAAAACTAAGTTGAAAACAAATCTTTTTCACACTCACCTGCTGGAGTGATGTAGTCTACCTCTTTGTTTCCAGCTTGCTCATATTACTCGATGTATATTGGCTTGTATTGCCCATTGGTTGTATGTAGATTTAGTATTGTTGCGTTTTGTATTTGAATGTGGATAAAATATAAATTGTCATAAATGTTTGACTTTGTACCGCGCTTCTGGCCTTAATTAGGAATGAAGTGTGTTTTTAAATTAACTTTATTATTATTAATATTATTATTATAATTTAGCTAACGGATGACTTCTAGACACTTGTATGCTTGATTGATGATATTTTTAGAAAACAGCTCACATTGCCAACACCAGACTCACGTGCTATGCCAACAGCAGACTCACGTACTGTGCCAAAGGCTGTTTCACGTATTGTGTCAAAATCTCATTGATTAATTAACACAAATTTTTTTATTTTTTTTAAGTGTGTAATATAACATTCTAACTAAACAATATACAAAGGCAAACAATTTGTAAAGTATATTTATTACAAAATATAAAAATATAAAAATAAGGCATCTAAATATTTAGAAAAATGTATCAAAAAATTTAATACGAAATAGGAAACGGTTTATTAAAACATTTGAACATAATAATTGATAGAAATAATTAATCATAGGTGTGTATCTGATAACACATAATAGAAATTATATATAAACCTTTTAGATGGAACACCCTATTGCCTGGTTTGCATATATTCAGGTTTTTAAAACCCTGGATACGCCGGAGGATGGTGGATAATGTCATGTGTTGCGAATGTTTGAAAATTAAAAAAAAAAAGTCAATGTAATTAGATGAAAATTTGTTAAATTAAAAATTGAACAATTTACTCAGTTGAAGGAACAGCAATATTTATCACAAATTTATTAGATAAACATTTCATTTTTTTACGCACTTTATATACTTTAATTTTGTATTGTGTATACCAAGCAAAAATCGTTCTGACTGATCACAGTGTGATAACATCTGGCCTATCAGGTACATCTGGCACAACGATCAGCGATGGTCTTACCCAAACGCGGTCGAGAATGCCTTCATTAATTATTTACTGGCACACATGTATGGAGGATATTCATTTACATGATTATATATTTACTCGTAATTTTGAATGAAAGGATATTTGTTTAAAAGAAAAAGCCGCACTGCGGATTTTAAGTGACTTTGACATTCTTGAACAAATTTATTACATTTTCAGGGCAGATATAAGTAATTCAAATTATTAAATTTTCATTTAGTTGCAAATACCAACAAATAAATGTCCCTGTAGCTGTAACTATACAAATTATTAAATTTCCGTATAGCTGCAACTATTCAAATTATTACATTGCCATGTAAACTTGAATTTTACAAATTACTACATTTCCGTACCGCTGTAAAAATCCAAATTGTTACACTTCCCTGTTGATGTAACGAACTAAATATTACATTTCCGTGTAGCTGTAACATAAATCTAGAAAGGGTATTACGGAAGTGACGTATTATCTTTAAACGTTAAATATCAAGGTCGACTTGTCACGGATGATTTGTAGACTTTCTCTAACAAACTGTCACGACATATTTAAATAGCTTCAATGCCTAACTGTCACTGTAAAACTGTCAATTTCCCACTGTCTCCACATATTTCCCGACGTTCAATGTCATACTGCCACTACATATCCATACAATGTTAATTTCCAACGCTCTCTGTCAACATGTCCCTAGAGATTTATAGAGGGTGTGTCAGACGTGGTGCTCTCGGCGTCATCCATGTGATTGATGACAGTTATCCGCCCACGATCCATGGCCAGGTTCCTGAGGTCTGGAATCGTCATGTTTGGGTTGTTGATCTTCATTGGTCCAGCCTTCTTGATGTGGAGGTTCTCGATTTTCCTGATGGGGAAACGGAAGCGTTATAAAACTACTGAGCATAAGATTTTATTTTTATTTTGATATGTTGTGCTCAGTGTTAAGTATTTAACGCTTAGTGTTTAGTTTTAAGTCTAGTAATTTCCTGTCTCGGGTTGATCCTGTATTTAAGTATAGGCCAAAACGTGCCAAGTGTACTTGTTTTTATAGCCATTTTAATGTTTCAGCTTCTGTTTCAGTAGTCATTTTTCACATAGTACTTACTATGCTAGTGTCTCTGGTTTTTCATTTTTATTTGCTTTAGCAGTTTAAATAGTTTATATATTTTTAATAATTGTAAAGCGCTTAGAGCTGTAAGGTAAGCGCTATAAAAAATGCCTACAATAATTATAAATAATAATAATAATCCGGTTCTAGCAAGTTTTTTTGTTTTTTTTCAAATTGTTGTCTAAACAAATTAAAAAACTTCCACTGCGTGAGGTATCAAAACTGCTTGAGATAATATTCCATAGCCACATTTTTATAAATCTTGGGTTTTCAAATGAATCCCCCCCCCCCCCGCTCCCTTAAATCTTGGTTGATGGGTGGTCAAATAATGTAAACTGACTCAAGCCAAATAGCTGGTGGTCTTTTAAAAACTTCCACTGCGTGAGGTATCAAAACTGCTTGAGATAATATTCCATAGCCACATTTTTATAAATCTTGGGTTTTCAAATGAACCCCCCCCCCCCCGCTCCCTTAAATCTTGGTTGATGGGTGGTCAAATAATGTAAACTGACTCAAGCCAAATAGCTGGTGGTCTTTGGCTCAATCCCCACCAAAGCTAAGACCAGCAAAAACACCCCAAGCACCCCAGGTGGACGGGACTCTCTAGCCTTAGACGGCAACTCATCTAAGAGAAGGCAAACTCTGAAATCAAACCAGGAGCCAGAATGATCAATGAATGGATCGTGGACCCTCATATAAAAGAAGGAAAAAAATCTAGACCCAGCAAGAGTAATTAGCTATATCACTATGCTTAAAATAGCCTACAAAGCTTTAGGGTGGACTGCTAGCTATCTTATAGCTAAATTATCCCACACAGTTTTAAGGTGTCCGTTATCTCACATAACTAAATTTTCATACAAAGTTTTAAGGGTCTGTCATATCATATAGCTAGATTACTCCTTACAGTTTTAGGGTGCCCGTTATATCATATAGCGAGATTACTCCCCACAATTTAGGTTGCTCGTTGTATTGTGTAGCTAGATTACTCCCCACTGTTGTATGGTGCCCGTTACATCCTACAACTATGTTACCCAGCCGAGTAGGACTCACAGATGTAATGATCTTTCTGGTTTCCCGGCAAACTCCCTCCGGACGCTGCTCATTGATGAGAAGCCACTCTCACTCCAGACATCGCTGGGTTCAGATTCGTTCAAGGGATGCAATCTGCCATAAAAATAAATGTTCAAATTAATGTTCAAATTAATGTTCATTTTTACCGTTATTTAAAACATCGATAAATTTCTTTCTGATTAAAATACTTCCAATTAGTTTGAACACCAGATTTTAGCTTATTTCGTTAATAAGCACTTTTTAAAAGTATGTCTGATGACATCGACTCAATCGCACCAGGTTTGGGTGGGATTTATTCTGTTTCGAAAGCATTGATGTCAAATTAAAGTGTCTAATAACGTGGTGAGGATTGGCCGACTGGTTTCAACTGAGTTCAGTCCCCAACTGAGACAAAGAAAATAAAAAAACAACGCCCAGAGTAGATGGCATTCTGGAGGACAACCTTAGATGAAAACTTTGGATGGCAACCTTGGATCACAACCTTGGATGGCAACCTTTGGATGACAACCTTGGATGACAACCTTGGATGACAACCTTGGATGGCAACCTTGAATGATAACCTTGGATGGCACCCTTGGATGTCAACCTTGGATTGGCAACCTTGGATGACAAACTGGAATGACAACCTTGGTAGACAACCTTGGAAGAAAACCTTGGGATGACAACTTTGCATGACAATCTTGGATGTCAACCTGAGATGACAACCTTGGATGACAACTTTGAATGACAACCTTGGATGGCAACCTCGGATGACAACTCATCTAAAAGAAAGAACACTTGGAACTTAAGCCCTGAGGTGGAGTGACGTGGGCGAAATGACACAGACACAATGAAAATTTCAACAACTCCTGCTGCGTGGAACACATCAGAGCACAGATAGACACAAGAAAGGATGACGACGAGCTTGTATCATCTCTAACAATGTTATTGTATTTAATCGAAAAAAATCTCTGGGAGTTTCTACTTAACAACATTGGTATTGTTAGAAAATAAAATGTTAAATATATATTTTTTAAAGATGTATATGTGAGATGGAATAAGAGAAGAAAGAAGAGGGGGAGGGGGAGCTTGTGTTGCCGAGAAGAGGATGATGGAAGGAAATTCGCCATAATTTAATTCCTTGTGGTAGAGGATTGTACTAGGGTCAGACACTTTGTTATACGTCACACGTCTTGGCCAGAATAGCAATGTTCCCAAATTTCCACAGCACCAGATGAAAGTCGCCACACAAAAAAAGTTGAGTCAGTTCTTTTTAATTGTGTTAACATGGGACCTCCAAGTGTCGTAAAGATATTTCTAAAGAAAATGGTTTAACCAGATCCCCACGTGACGCCCCTTCTTAAAAACAGTGTTGACTTTAGCAAGTCTTCTCCGTGTCCCCGCTAACGGAGGAGGGATTCATCTGGCCTCAGATCTGAAGTCTTGTGTAACCCTTTTGAAATTTGGGGGTGGAGGATATCGGGGTTTACTAAAGTAGTGAGCGTTCACTGAGATTTAGACTATCAGTGTTTAGTACAGTAGTGTAAGTTCATTAAGGGGTATGATATAAGATTACTAAAGTAGTGTATGTTCATTGAGAGATATGATGTCAGGGTTAACTTATGTAAGACAAGATAAGATTCTTTATTGATTAAACAAAAATGATTTTTTTTTAAATTACATTTCACAAATTCATTTTCAGCACGTACATAAATATTTCTTTTTAAACAATACAAAATTTTACAATTAAAACAATTTAAACACAAGACATCTCAAGTCACCCATCAACGAATTGCCTTAGTGACAATAGTTACTTAATTAGTGATCATTTAGACTTGATACGCGCTGGTGGAGCACGCTCACAAATTCCTAGACTGGGGAGTAACATGATTTATACCACCGTTCTTAATTTTAAGGAAAAAATATCGCGCTCATCGAGCTAATCGTAGGTATCTGTGATAGAATTGGTGACATGTATCATCCAATTTTTTTTTTATTCTTACAAAAGTAATTTTTTCAAACTGTTCTGCAAGTGAAAGATGTTTAGTTTGTACGATGTTACTAGCTTGCTAGATGAGTCTGTTTAAACGGTATAAGTTCACTGAGGGGCATGCTGGCAGAATGTGCTAATGTAGTGTAAGTTCACTGAGGGGTATGCTGGCAGAATGTGCTAATGTAGTGTAAGTTCACTGAGGGGTATGCTGGCAGAATGTGCTAATGTAGTGTAAGTTCACTGAGGGGTATGCTGGCAGAGTGTGCTAATGTAGTGTAAGTTCACTGAGGGGTATGCTGGCAGAGTGTGCTAATGTAGTGTAAGTTCACTGAGGGGTATGCTGGCAGAATGTGCTAATGTAGTGTAAGTTCACTGAGGGGTATGCTGGCAGAATGTGCTAATGTAGTGTAAGTTCACTGAGGGGTATGCTTGCAGAATGTGCTAATGTAGTGTAAGTTCACTGAGGGGTATGCTGGCAGAATATGCTAATGTAGTGTAAGTTCACTGAGGGGTATGCTGGCAGAGTGTGCTAACGTAGTGTAAGTTCATTGGGTGGTATGATAATAATGTTTACTAAAGAAGTTTAAGTTTTTCGAGGTAGTATGTGATCAGCATTCGCTAAAGAAGTGTGCGTTCTTTGAGGGTTATGATATCAGGGTTTGCTAAGTAGTGTAAGTTCATTATGAAAGGAAAGTAATATTTTAATGAAAGCATACTTTCATGAAAGTTTGAAGATATACAATTAAGTAATATAAAGGGAACAAAGACTTTGCTATGGCATAAGGTACAGAAACAGGATTTAAAATTCAACACTGGCAACAACAAAAAAGTGCAAAAAAATCAAATTTGCCATCAAATTCAAAGCCTTAATTTAAAATATACTACCTCATAGGTCAATGCAACATATAATTTACATACAGATATAGACATTGGAGCACATTTTAAAACAACATTTATATATTGAACAGGATGTTCAATAATTCCATAAGATAAAGAGAACTAAGTTTGATTCAGTTCTCTAGAATAGTAGAGCGAGTGTCACCTATGTGTAGTAGAGCGTATGCCACCTATGTGTAGTAGAGCGTGTGTCACCTATGTGTAGTAGAGCGTATGCCACCTATGTGTAGTAGAACGGTTGCCACCTATGTGTAGTAGATCACGTGTCACCTATGTGTAATAGAGCGTGTGTCACCTATGTGTAGTAAAGCGTATGCCACATAATGTGTAATAGATCATGTGTCACCAATGTGTAGTAGATCGTGTGTCACCTATGTGTAGTATAGTGTGTGTCACCAATTTGTAGTAGAACGTGTGTTGCCAATGTGCAGTAAAGCGTGCGTCACCTATGTGTAGCAGAGCGTGTGTCTCCCATGTGTAGGAAAGTGTGTGCCAACTATGTGTATTAGAGCGTATCTTAACTATGTTTAGTAGAGCGTGTGCCACCTACGTGTAGTAGAGCAAGCCTCACCAATGTGTAGTAGAGCGTGTGACCCCTATGTGTAATAAAATGTGGGTCACCTATGTAGTAGAGCGTGTGTCAACTCTGTGTAATAGAGCACGTGTCCCCTGTGTGTAGCAAAGCGTGTGCCACCTATGTATAGTAGATCGGATGTCACCTATGTGTTGTAGAGCGTGCACCACCTATTTGTAGTAGAACGTATGTCACATATGTGTAATAGAGCGTGCACCACCTATTTGTAGTAGAACGTATGTCATATATGTGTATTAGAGCGTGCTTCATGTATGTGCAGTAGAGCGGGAGCCATCTATGTAAAATAGAGCGTGTGGCACATATATGAAATATAGGGTGTGGCACATATGTAAAATAGAGCGTGTGGCACATATATGAAATATAGGGTGTGGCACATATGTAAAATAGAGCGTGTGGCACATATATGAAATATAGGGTGTGGCACATATGTAAAATAGAGCGTGTGGCACATATATGAAATATAGGGTGTGGCACATATGTAAAATAGAGCGTGTGGCACATATATGAAATATAGGGTGTGGCACATATGTAAAATAGAGCGTGTGGCACATATATGAAATATAGGGTGTGGCACATATGTAAAATAGAGCGTGTGGCACATATATGAAATATAGGGTGTGGCACATATGTAAAATAGAGCGTGTGGCACATATATGAAATATAGGGTGTGGCACATATGTAAAATAGAGCGTGTGGCACATATGTGAAATAGAGCTTGTGGCACTTTTGTGAAAGAGAGTGAGTGGCACACATATAAAAGGGAGTGTGTGGTACGTATGTGTAGTATAGCATGCGTCACCATTGTGCAGCAGATTTTTACATATGTGCAGTAGAGCGCCAGCTGAGTCAACCAGGAGCAAGTCTTCTACATGCCCAGCATACCTAGGTTTTGACACAAATGTATACATGACATTAAAATCAGACTTACTTTAAGACAAGTTACCACATATTGATATACCTAAAAGTCATTTTATGATATAATTGAAGCATTCAGGGAACAACATTGATGATGCCACGAAACACCCACGCTGATGACAACATTAATAGAAAAAACACCTTAATATTTGCGAGAGTGGCTACTTTTAAACATCTCATCATCATCATGTCCCTTAGTCCTTGGATGGTTGAGGCGCCACAGTTGACACACAAACTATCCTTCCCATTTAAATATCTTGGGGTGACTATAAACGAGCACAATTAAATTTTGTCTTTACTCGATTTATCGGCAGCTTTCGATACGCTCGACCACGGCATACTGCTCCAGCGTCTGCAACAAACGTTCGGTCTCACTGATACCGTTCTGTGTTGGTTCCGATCGTATCTGACTAATCGGATCCAGTCAGTTATTTCAAACGGCTTGACTTCGAAGAAATCTAATATCGAATTCGGAGTACCCCAGGGCTCGGTCCTAGGCCCGGTGCTCTTCACGATGTACATTCAGCCCCTGGGCGCAGAGATCAGGCAGTTTGACATGTTGTATCACATGTACGCGGACGATACACAACTTCATCAATCCGTGCTCCCTTCTCAGTTCCCTCAGCTGCTCAGTATGACACAGAAGACAATGGAGTCGGTTAAGCACTGGATGACCATAAACAGGCTCAAATTAAATGATGATAAGACTAAGCTTATCCCCATCGCAACCGCTCAGAAGCAAAAATCTGCAAATAACACTACATCCATTACTCTCTCAGGTGTGCGTATTGAGTTAGCTCAAACAGTGCGGTACCTGGGTGTCTACCTAGATGGAAGACTAACTTTTGAAAGTCATATTAACATGCTATGCAAGGCGATTTTTCTGGAGCTGCGCAGGATTAGTCACATCAGGCCCTTCCTAACAATTGATGCAACAAAGAGGCTGATGTCTGCATTTGTGCTATCACGCATGGACTATTGCAATGCTCTCATGGTGGGTCTTCCAGCTACGCTCCTGGATAAAATTCAAATAGCACAGAATAATGCGGCTCGCATAGTTCTCCGCAAACGCAAATTCGACCATGCAAAAACACTTCTGAGAGAGTTGCATTGGCTGCCGGTGCGTGCTCGCATAGAGTACAAAATCGCAACTTTGTGCTACCGCTGCTTACATGACCTGGCGCCGTCATATCTGAAAGAGCTGCTGACGCCTTATGTACCCACTAGAGAGCTCCGCTCATCCGATAGTGGCAAACTCTCGACACCACGTGTTTGCCTTGAGACTTACGGAAAGCGCACTTTCGCATTTGCTGGTCCAACAATTTGGAACGCCCTTCCTGTCGATCTTAGAAACAACCAGACACTGGAGTCCTTTAAAACCGATCTAAAGACACATCTATTTCGCAAATACCTTCTGGGATGATTGTCTACCTTCTTTTCCATGTGTTGCTGTGTTGCTCCGGGTTGAAATGGCTAGAAAGACTTTGATATTGTATGCTTGTAATTAGTTTTTGTAGTGTTGCGTTTGTTTTAAATGTGGTTAATTATAGATATTCTTTGTTGACTTTGTACCGCGCTTCGAGCCTTTGGGGATGAAGCGTGTTTTTGAAATGAACTTTATTATTATTATTATTATTATTAAATAACGTCGGTGGTGAAAGAGAGGATAATAGCCAATCATTTCTATTTCAGCCTACAAGAGCTACTGGGTAACAAAAACCTCTCAAGTGGAACAAGGAAGACAATATACACCACCTTCATAAGACCAATAGTGGCTCACGCTAGTGAGACTTGGTCCTTCACCAGAAAAGCAGAGAACCTGCTCAAAATATGTAAGGGGAAAATCGTCAGGATAATATATTATATGGCTCAGTGATAGACAATGATGTCTGGGGAATCCGTACAAACTGGGATTGTACAAAGACCCACCCATATTCGCAACAATAAAATAAAGGGGCAGACTGCGCTGGACAGAATGTATTGAAAGGATACCAGATTGAAGAGCAGCAAATGTGATCTACAGCCAGAAACCTAGGGGCAGAAGGCTCATCGGTCGTCCAAGACTATGATGGCTCGACGATGTAGAGAAGGATTCACACAAGTTGGGGACTCGCGCATAGAGGCGGGAAGCCACGGATCGCTCATAATGGAAGAATGTGATGTAGCAGGTCATGTCCCTACATGGGCTGTAGCGCCAAAGATGATGATGATATGTCATTCAAGTCAGACAAACGCAGTAAGAAGTACTACCACACATTGACTGACCCTAACGTACATTAGATATGTTCAAATGTGCCAATAATTTTACTTACGATTTTGCAGACGTCCCATTACTGGTAGCCACACTAAGGCGGGTAAATCCTACATCAGCGTCGGCGCCTCTTTTATGAGGGGATGACACTGTCCAGTCTTGCACACGTGTTAAGCTGTATAGGGGATGATATGTGTGATTGATGAGATTTACCCATTGAGTATGTGTGTGATAGATTATATATGTCCATTGAATGAATGATATTTAGTAAAAAGTTGGTCTGACTTTAAATAATTTTTATTTTAAATAGTCTCCCTTTAAATGGTGATTAAGGTTTGTATTGAAAGAAAAGACGTCACGGGTCACTTTGAAACAAATGTGAACACTTCGAGTACAGCATGTCGTTACACGCGATCAAAAAATAAATTCAATTTAAACGCTTCACACAACAATAAAATTCTTCTACATTTACATCATGAAACTCAAAATAATAGAATATGACTTAATTTAAATATAAGTTGATATTTTCAGTTACATGACTTTTAAATCATCGATTTTATGTTGCTGTTTTTTTGTGAATCTTCAATTATTTGATTTTGCTTTTATCACATGATTTTTTAAAAATTTTTTTACGAACATGAGTTTGAAAGCTGCAGGCTAAATATGCAACGGGCTACAATATTTGGTTTGACGGGTCACAAAAACATTTGATTTTACGGGCCACAATATTTGATTTGAAGGGCAGCGTGCAGTGTTGGAGCCCAACTGAATAGCGCATAAAATATTTAGTGAAATATACACATTACCTTTCAGGTTGTAGCCCTGCAGGAAACATGGCGTTATTTGGGCTTGGTGGTGCTGTGGGGAAACAATACAAATATGGAGATGCGATGAGCACGTTTAAATTGTATTGAGATTTGTCTCTTCAAATAATTACAATATATCTTGATCCCATATCACCCAGTTCATATCAGACGCGTCAACTAGCCCTATTCAAATCACTTACTCAAACTCACCAAATTCATACCACACAATTCAACTCACCTTTTTCATATCACACACTTCAACTCACCCAATTTATGTCAGATACTTTAGTTTTGACATCCTCTCTGCTCTAAGGTGAGGCAAATGAGAACCTTACTCTCTTCTTTCAGATGAGGCAATTGGGAACCTTACTCTCTTCTTTCAGATGAGGCAAATGAGAACCTTACTCTCTGCTTTCAGATGAGGCAATTGGGAACCTTACTCTCTTCTTTCAGATGAGGCAAATGAAACCTACTCTCTGCTTTCAGATGAGGCAAATGAGAACCTTACTCTCTTCTTTCAGATGAGGCAATTGGGAACCTTACTCTCTTCTTTCAGATGAGGCAAATGAGAACCTTACTCTCCTCTTTCAGATGAGGCAATTGGGAACCTTACTCTCTTCTTTCAGATGAGGCAAATGAGAACCTTACTCTCTGCTTTCATGTGATGCAAATGAGAACCTTACTCTCTTCTTTCAGATGAGGCAATTGGGAACCTTACTCTCTTCTTTCAGATGAGGCAAATGAGAACCTTACTCTCTGCTTTCATGTGATGCAAATGAGAACCTTACTCTCTTCTTTCAGATGAGGCAATTGGGAACCTTACTCTCTTCTTTCAGATGAGGCAAATGAGAACCTTACTCTCTGCTTTCATGTGATGCAAATGAGAACCTTACTCTCAGCTTTCAGGGGAAGTAAATGACAACCTTATTCTCTACTCTCAGGTGAGGCAAATGAGAAATTTACCCTCTGCTCTCAATTGAGGCAAATGAGAATCGTATTCCTTAATATCCGCAGAGACTTCTTCTGCAATAAATTCAACTTGCTACGACTCCTATACATTACTAAGCATACCCAGCGATGAATCCATTAGTAAATATACTATGCACACACACGTTCTGATGGATCCAGTAAAACTATTCTAGTCATTCACCAAACAACAACGAGACGATTGATTGACCAGTAAACAAAGACAATTGAAGTCATCTCATTGATTAATAAGTCGTCTCATTGATTAATAAGTCATCCCATTGATTAACAAGTCATCCCATTGATTAATAAGTCATCCCATTGATTAATAAGTCATCCAATTGATTAATAAGTCATCTCATTGATTAATAAATCGTCTCATTGATTAATAAGTCATCTCATTGATTAATAAGTCATCTCATTGATTAATTAGTCATCCCATTGATTAATTAGTCATCTCAACGAAAGGAGATAACCTGGGCGGGCAGGGGGGGGGAATGGAGTACGTGGTACACTAGGGTGGGTACGGCAGTTGGTACACGGTGCATGGGGTAGACGGTACACGGGGTAGATGCAAGGTACACGGAGGCTGGTACACGGGGGTGGGTGTTACAGGAGGGTCGTTACACGGCACATGGGGATGTATATGGGGTTCGGTACGTGCGTTAGGGTACATATGGGTTGGTACATGGGGTTGGGGGTACACTGACCAACCTGACCCACTCTTACTTCAAAAATAAAGTCAGCAAATACATGATCGGGTATACAGTAATACATCTTTAAAAGCTACTTGAAACTGGACAATGTGCTCACCTGTCAGGCGTGGAGTCGTTGGCCTGAATTCAGCGGACTGTGATGCGTTTGGATTTTTATCATACTTGATCGTGTCGGTGCTCAAAGACAAACTATTTGCCAGAAACGGGTCTTGGGTGGACATCGCGTCAACTGGGATCACATCAGCACCGGCTTCCCTGAGCAGACCGATGACGCTGGTCATCTCCTTCTTCATCGCTACCATTATCGGCGTCGTCCCGTAGTAATTCTTCGCGTTGACGTTTGCCCCTGCGTTTATCAAAGCTCTGATGCAGTCTTCGTGCTGAAAGTACACGGCCACGAGCAGCGGCGTGGAAGACACCACGTGACCGTGTTCCGAACGTTCTGCTGGTGGTGTCGAGACGCCGCCCTCTTCCTTATTCACTAACAGATTGACGTCACATCGGTGATGGATGAGTTTTTGTACAACTGAATGATCGCCGAGGGCGGACGCAAGGATCAGCGGGTTGTGGCCGTCCTTGTCGATAAAATCGACGTCAGTTCCATAATGCGCCAAGACGTCGACCACGTCAGGGAAGCCTTTGCACGAGGCCAGAAGGAGGCCGCGTCGCTGACCGGTGCAGTAACTGGAGTTCCCTTTACGCTTCCCGTGCTCTAGAAGCAGCTTGACGATCATGGCGTGACCGGCTTGCGCGGCAAAGATGAGCACAGTCTGGTCGCTAGCGTTGACGAAATTGATATCGGCCCCGTGGGAAATAAGCTTCTCCACGCAGGTGTAGTGGCCTTTCTTCGCTGCGAGCATGAGGGCTGTCAGGCCACTCGCGTTGACCATCGTGATGTCCGCCCTCATGGACAGCAGCACCTCAACCGTCGAGGCGTGGCCGTTTTGACTGGCCAGCATGAGGGCGGTCCACCCGTTCTTGTTGGCATAGTTGACATTGGCACGATGAGACAGCAGCAGTCTGACGTTATCCGTCAAACCTTTCTCTGCCGCGATGCATAGCGGCGTCCATCCGTCTGCGTTCGGTTCCTGGATGTTGTTCCCGACATCTATTAGTAGCCCAAGGTTTCCAGGGTTGTCGATTTGAGAAGCGATCATCAACGCCGTAGACCCTGTTCTGTTGGTCATGTAAACATTGGCCTGGTTTCTCAGGAGAACTGTAAGTGTTCTGGTGTGTCCGTACCGAGCAGCGAATATAAGGGCAGTCCAGTTGATTCGGTTGGAGGCGTTAATTTCGGCCCCTCTTAGCAGCAGCAGCTCAACTATCCTATGGTGCCCGGCACCGGATGCGATCATGAGCGCGGTGTCACCTTTTATGTCCTGTAGGTTGACGTCAGCATTCGCCTCCAACAGCGTCCGGACAGCGTGAAGGTGGCCCTCTTTTGAGGCCATCTTTAAGGCTGTCTCGCTTTCAGTGTTGATTTGATTGATAGACGCCCTGTGCTTTAGCAATACGTCTATAACATCCTGTTGGCCAGTCTGAGCTGCCACCATAAGAGCTGTGGTGCCATCTGTCTCTCCCTGGTTTACATTCGCCTTGTGGGCGAGTAGCTTGCGTACCAAATTTGCATGTTTTTTTTTAGCCGCCACAATTAGAGGTGACGTATTATTTCCGTTGACTTGGTTGACATTAGCCTTTTTCTTCATCAGTTTTTTTACGATTCCCTTGTAACCATGACAAGACGCCAACATGAGGGCGCTATCCTCCGACTTTGTGCACGCATTGACGTCGGCGTTACGATCCAAAAGCAAGTCTACGGCTTTGTCATGGCCATTTAGCGCCGCGACGATCAGTGGTGTGCATCCCTCGTGATTCGATTCGTTAACGTCAATGCCTTTCTCGAGAAGCCATTTGATGATGGCCGGGTTGCCTTTCACGGAGGCCGCTAGGAGCGCATTGCCGCCCTCCAAATTCCGGGTGTGTACATACGCTCCTTTACGCAGCAGGTACTCCACGATATCGGCCCGGCCGTGCCAGGACGCAATCATTAAAGCAGTGCAGCCGTGCTGGTTGACCTTGTCAGTGGCGGCTCCGAAATCCAGCAACACGCGTGTGACGGCCTCATTGCCGTACTCTGCGGACACCATGAGGGCTGTCCAGCCAGTGTCGTCGGCCTCGTTCACAATGTTCTTGGCTGTTAGGAGGGCTTCAACGCCCCTGACGTTTTTCGATTTCGTCAGCCACAACAGTTTGGAGCCGAGGTCGTTGTTGTGGTCGTTGTTGTTGCTGTTGTTGTTGTTGAGGTTCGGGTTCTCAAAGGAGTGGTTGAACCCAATCTGAGGTAGTGTGTTAGTTGGATTACTCATGGTCTTTACATTACCCAGGTCGACTGAAGTACCTTGTGAATGTAATACTGTGTAAATATAACAAAACACGCAATCATGCAATCTGTTTTATTTTAAAAGTTTATATTTAATGAGTACGTTTATGAACATTTAAGAATTGTACAATTATTGAAAAAAAGTTTATTTATGTTTAAACTAAGCTTCGATAGAATGTCGGTTTTTTTTTTCCTTCCAAAAGTTTTAATTCTTGAAATAAAAATTATATCTGCTTATAAAGTGTTATGGAGAACGTAGCAAGGTAGGGTATATTCTTAAAGACATTGTTGTATTGATGTATTGTTTATAGACGTGGGTAGGGACGGTGTGTTGTTTGAAGACATAGGTAAGAGGGGTGTATTGTTAAAAGACATCGTTAGGCAGGGTGCATTGTTTATAGACGTAGGTAGGGACGGTGTGTTGTTTGAAGACATAGGTAAGAGGGGTGTATTGTTAAAAGACATCTTTAGGCAGGGTGCATTGTTTATAGACGTAGGTAGGTAGGTCGTATTGTTTAAAGTCGCAGGTAGGTGTGGTGTATTGTTAAAAAACGCAAATAGGGAATGGTGTATTGTTAAAAGTTGCGATGGTAATCGAACTCTCGTTTAGAAGTTTGTTTCAGTTCCGGTTCGGTAACAACTGAAGTTTAGGTCAGGCACCTACTGTACTTCGGAGCATCCGGTAATTTGAAATATATTTTGGGTTTAATTTACATTAAATAAATTTTATATTTCATCTATATATATATAAAAATAACGTTTATTTAGAACATAAAATAATAATTTACTTTTCAGCACTAAACTGGAATTTATATATAGATATAAACTATAAAAAAAAACGCGTTTTACTAGAATTTTAATGAAAATAAGGAGACATAAAATTCTATTGGGTTTTTTTTGTTTATGCTCATTGAAAGAAAGATTCCAATATTGTTTATTTCTAAATATCAAACCTTTGAACGTCACATGCTTAAAAAAAAAAAAAATTTCTATCATGTGTTTCCTCACTTATTATCTACTTATTATTTAAGCAATTAAAAAAATATAAAATTTAACACATTTCATAATCCTCTATTACCTTGTTGTTCGGGCTCATGACGTTTGACTGACATTCATCGATAATACAGTTCTCTTTGAAATAGAGCAAAATCCGTTTAGAGACAATTCCAGTAGCACACGTCGGGCATTCTCGTGTGTGGCCAGGGAGCTACTCAAGTCGAATTCCGAACAGTAGAGAACATCTGTGTCAAGCGATGTTAGGTCCAGTAAATGAAAAGTCCCATCTTTCCGTCATCGTTGCACCTACAATTGGGTTATGTTTGAACAGGGAGCCTGCCAGTGAATCTATCCTTGCGGCAAATCAAGTGCAGAAATTGTAATAGATTCCTGCAATAGATGCCTGTACTGATGGATACCCTAGGAAGGAACTGGAGCAGTTGTCGGGGTATTTTAGATGAACGTAAGACTTTGAACTATCAAATGTACACACGTCTATCGTTTAAATGTTAAGCTCTGTGGTGTTAAACGGTCATCATCTCTTTCCCGAATGGATCTTTTCTAAACCATTCACAAATATAAAAAAACGAAAAAAAAAAATATATAACTATTTTATCATGTTTGTATTGGCAAAAAAGATGCCTGACGTCATTCAATGTGAGATTTGCAAGAGAGGAAAATCCAGTCACGTGATACCGAGGTTATTAATATCATCACCAGAAAATCCGGGACAAAAATTTAAAAAAAAAATGTTTTAGGCTTAAGAAATTTTATTTTTTACATGTTTTATCCGATGTTTAAACACCATTCCAATTCTTACTTCTTGAAATTTAATGAATTTCGAATACATTGTTTTGACGTAAGACCAGGGCCGTGCAGAGCGAGAGGCCGACACAACAGAGTAAATCGATCGGCGCCAAGCCTTGATGGGGGGGGGGGGGGGGGGGGTCCGTCAAGGATGGGGTCTAGCAATGTAGCATCCTACTTATCTTTGTAGTCCAGCAACTCATTCTGCTGGACTCGTCAGCCTTGTCAAGGCGAACATTGTTGGACATCACAACGGTCTCTCAGCAAGGCTCCAAATGGAGTAAAACAATTATGAGGTCATCTACGTTTCAAGAGACCACCGGCAATCTGGCCTTAGTATGTGTGGAGTCTCTTTTGACAAGGATGCTTTGATTTAAACCAGTAATATTAAGACTTTCAAAAAGAAGACAGAGAGTGTGTTTGTAGTGTTTTATCAAAGTTTCTTTTGTCTCACAGTTACACAAAATTTACTCATCATTTTTTTTTTAAAAAAGGAAGAGAAAAAAAAAATTCAGAAAATTGACAAAAATTGTATAGTAGTGGATGAGCTCAGGGACAAAAACTCATGTGTACGTGGCACAAAAACCCGGTGTACGGCCCTGCATGATAACACAAATTAGTAATATAGGAACTGTTAACTTATTCCTGACCCAGATGTTGAACTAAAATTTCAATTAATATTTGATCGAAAATAATGAATGAACGAAGCAAAGAATGTGGCTGCAAACAACAACATTACAGACGATTTCAAGAATAATGTGGACATTGCGGGGGGGGGGGGGGGGGGCTTTTAAAAGGGGGGGCGTCTTTAAAAAATATATATGCCTGGTGAACGATTCATTTAGCAATAGTGCAAGCGACACGAGTTGAGCCGAAGTGAAAGTGTCTTATTGCATGTAGAATGTCTTGGTTAGCTGGGGGAGGGGTGATGGCACCGTATTGCATCTACAATCTCTTTGATAGACGGGGGAGGGATGATGGTGCCGTATTGTATCTACAATCTCTTTGTTGGATGGGGGAGGGATGATAGTGCCGTTATTCACCTGCAATCTCTAGTTTAGCCGGCGGGAGGGGGGAGAGTAACGTAATACATCTACTATATATGTCATTCCTCCTACACACCACACCCCCTTAAAAAAAAAAGTAAGAGTAAGATTTCATACTAAAATAACCCCACCCAATCGCCCCCTCCAGATCCGCATTTGTAGACTCAACCAATCGAGTGATGGGAAAGGTAAACACTTGACTGGCGCCGCCCCATTCAGGTAGCCAGGAAACGACGCGTCTTGTTGCTACCATCTTCACTCAGTCTTCACCCGAACCTGCCTTTTACACATCCGTAGGAGACTTCTCAGTGCTACCATCTTCCCTCAGTCTTCACCCGAACCTGCCTTTTACACATCCCTAGGAGACTTCTCAGTGCTACCATCTTCACTCAGTCTTCACCCAAACATGCCTTTTACACATCCATAGGAGACTTCTCAGTGCTACCATCTTCACTCAGTCTTCACCCAAACATGCCTTTTACACATCCATAGGAGACTTCTCAGTGCTACCATCTTCCCTCAGTCTTCACCCGAACCTGCCTTTTACACATCCCTAGGAGACTTCTCAGTGCTACCATCTTCACTCAGTCTTCACCCAAACATGCCTTTTACACATCCATAGGAGACTTCTCAGTGCTACCATCTTCCCTCAGTCTTCACCCGAACCTGCCTTTTACACATCCATAGGAGACTTCTCAGTGCTACCATCTTCACTCAGTCTTCACCCGAACCTGCCTTTTACACATCCATAGGAGACTTCTCAGGTGTCCCCAGAAGCCTTCTCAGCTGTTCCTAACATCAAGTGGGATGCTGCCAGCACGTAAAGAAAATGTTTTAGACATCCACGATTGGATTAAGAACGAAAAAGACGTTCCGTATTTTCCGCCGTACATGACGACTTTTTACCCCATGACAATCATTTCAAAAGTCTGGGGGTCATCTCATAAGCTGGTATACGGCGTGCTGAAACTTCAGGGACAGGCGGCCTCTGGTTCCAGTTTGGTTGACACCCTAGCAAACCAACAGCATCGCAGCTCCCATGGGTTTATTGTCTCATCCTTCATTTCAGCTTTGGAGTGAATTAGGAAAAGTTTAATCCACTTGGCTGATTTATGTTTAAATGTTTGATGACAAACAGCCATATGTTTATAAGAGAGTGTTTTCTGCTAAGTATATGCATGCCACAAGCAATTGAATTACTATCACCAGATAGAAATCAAATCTGGTGTTTTATGTGGTGTGCGTTGGAAGAGGGGTCGCCTTATACGGCGAGTGTAAACTAAAACCTATATTTTAACAACACTAAAAGTGGGGGCGTCTTCAATACCCAGGTGTCTTATACGCCGGAAAATACTGTAGTTTAAGTGCTATTGAATGTTGTGTGTATATATATATATATATATATATATATATATATATATATATTAATTAAAATATATAATCCAGCAAACAATGGTAGTGGCAAGGTGTGAATTTCCTATGTACTAAAGTTACTTGACAAATCATGCCTTCAAGTGACGCTTTGTAGCAAAAACCTAATTCATTTTGAATTCTAAAAAAAAAAAAAAAAAATTATGTTGCGTGCCCATTGAACACATCCTCTCAGGCTTGCATACCTTCTTAGAGAATTATTATTTTTGTTAATGTTTGATGGGTCTCTTTAATAAAATATTGAGAATCACTGCTCTAGATTCTAAGTAAACACGCCTCTTTGAATGGTTTATTTTAATGTCAAGTCGTGTGGTCCACGCATTGGTCTCCGGAAATGAATGCACTTTTGCAGACATACGTCCTTAAAAATTTATAATCATATCTGATGCAGGATGGAAACAATCATTCAGGATGCTGGATTGAAAAAATCATATCTGATGCTCGATTAAAACAATCTATATATATCATGCAGGATTGAAAATATCTAAATTAATATATGATGTAGGATTGAAACATTCTATATATCATGTAGGATTGAAACAATCTAAATTAATATATAATGTAGTATGGAAAATCTATTAATCATGCAGGATTGAAACAATCTAAATTAATATATAATGTAGTATGGAAAAGTCTATTAATCATGCAGGATTGAAACAATCTAAATTAATATATAATGTAGTAGGGAAAATATATAAATCATGCAGGATTGAAGCAATCTAAATTAATATATAATGTAGTATGGAAAAGTCTATTAATCATGCAGGGTTGAAACAATCTAAATTAATATATAATGTAGTATGGAAAAGTCTATTAATCATGCAGGGTTGAAGCAATCTAAATTAATATATAATGTAGTATGGTAAAGTCTATTAATCATGCAGGATTGAAACAATGCATTGACTCGTTTTCACGTGTCTTCATTAGCAAAACATTTTTTAGAAAACAAATTTTTGCAAAATTAACTTTTTGTTTACGTTTAGTTTCAGGTACTGAATTGCAGGTATAGACACATAATGACAGTTAAATAGGAGACACACAAGGAGACATATTACAAAAGTTAAATGAGTTATAAGACACACAACGAGACAAATAATGATATATAAATGACGTTATAAGTCACACGATGAGACATATAATGATAGTTAAATGGCGTTATGAGAGACGCAACGAGACACATAATGATAGTAAAATAACTTTATAAGACACACAACGAGAAAGATACTGATAGTTAAATGACGTTATGAGACTCACGAGACAAATAAAAAATGTTAGTTAAATGACATTACGAGACACACAACGAGACATACTGTTTGTTAAATGACGTTATGAGAGTCACAACAAGACAACTAAATAACAAAAGTTAAATGACATGACCAGACACCCAATACGAAATCTAAGTTCTTTGAAAACTTTGAGAGATCCAAGAGATCATGGTGGACGCGGCACAAAGCCAACGTCTTGATCTCCAGCTGGTGGTCTTGCTTGCTTTGGTCTTCCAAATCAAAGAAGGAATTTAAGATTTATGAAGCATAGAAATAGTTCTAAGATGCAGAGATGTTGTGTTGTCGTTAAAAACAAATGTTAGAAACACACCACGGGCCTTACCCTGGTGACGACTTTTTGCGTGAAATCCTTTTCTTAGAAGTTACTTTCAATATTATGGCATTTTCGTTCAATCCCGTAATGCGATATTTATTTTTTTTCTTTTAATCGGATAATTCGTTTGGGATTGATCCCAATGTAAGGTTAAATAGACCACTGGAAGGAAAACGTTAGAAATAGGTGGCGCTCATCTAGGGGAGAAATGGGAATAGAGAGAAAAATATATTATAAAAATCGCTGTAGTATTACACCTCTTAGTTAGTTTAAAAGTATTTGGATACAGCCGTGGTCTTACACTTGCCAGATAGTTAAAGCTATATGGTTACAACTGTGTACTTGCACTTGCCAGATAGTTAAAGCTATATGGTTACAACTGTGTACTTGCACTTGCCAGAGAGTTAAAGCTATATGGTTACAACTGTGTACTTACACTTGCCAGAGAGTTAAAGCTATATGGTTACAACTGTGTACTTGCACTTGCCAGATAGTTAAAGCTATATGGTTACAACTGTGTACTTGCACTTGCCAGATAGTTAAAGCTATATGGTTACAACTGTGTACTTGCACTTGCAAAATAGATAAAGCTATTTGGATACAACCGTGGTCTTCAAATTCGTGATTTAAACGAAAACAACACGAAAGAAGAAGGCATGGGCTGGTGACGATCAACGTTTTATTGGCGTCATGGGCATTTAATAAATGATACTTGACGTCATTTGAATAAATATCTATCACTGTGTCGTTGATTTATGCAATGGTTTATCAGTTGGACTTTGAGGTGAAGTTGGACGAATCATGAAAGGGAATTTTAACAAGCCAATGAAAGAATAATGGACAAACAAGGAAAGGGATGTTTGAAAAAAAAAACAAGGGGGAAAAATGCTAGAACTACAAGTGCGGGGATGCTAGAACTGCACATGAGTGGATGCTAGAGTTACCAGTAAGCGGATGCTAGATCTACAATTTAGGGTTTGCTAAACCTACCAGAAAGAGGAATGCTAGACCACCAGTAAGGGAATGCTACAATTAAAAATGAGGGGATACTAGATCTGCGTGATAAGGGATTCTAGCCCTACCAGTATTGGATGCTAGAATTAAAAATAAGGGGATGCTAGATCTGCACATGAGAGGATGCTATACCTAACAGTAAAGGGATGCTAGACCTACCGATGCTAGAATTACAAATGAGGGGATGCTAGATCTACACATGAGGGGATGCTAGACCTACAAGTAAAGGGATGCTAGACATACAGTCAGTTGATGCTAGACCATCTGTAAGGGTGGCTAGACATTCAAATGAGGGGATGCTAATTCTGCAAATGAAGGGAAGCTAGACCTGCCAGTAAGGGGATGCTACACTTACAAGTTAGGTATGCAATATCTATCAGTAATATGATGCTAGACCTACCAGTTAGGGAATGCTAGACCTACCAGCCAGGGTACTCAGGATGCTGTAAAACAGATGCTAGCTTTCGGCCCTTTCTTGTTTTAAAAACTAGGTCAACTTCGCACATCTAGGCAACTATAATAATCCGGGAAGGGGGATAAATTTTGTAAAAACGTCTTGGTAATATTGGCCAATGGGATTTGCTGTTTGACATTACTTCATGGGTTCAGTTTAAATTTCCCCACTTCTTTTAATAGAGGCACGAACGTGACAAAGCTGCTACTAATTCAGGCTATCACTGCAATGCTAACAAAGCTACTACAAATTTAGACTATCACTGAATGTTACACACACGAATTTAAAATGTAATATAAAGATTATCTAATACCGCTATTGCTTGGTGTAGCTTTTATTTGGTTGTAGAGTCTTGTAAATTTAAATCGACTAAATTTGTGGCTGATAATGATAAATTATGTTTTCGACTTTATTTTTTTTTTTAGGATAATGGTGGACAAAAGACTTCCTTTATTGACGGCGTCATCACAACATCATTTGTTATGGAGGTGCTTCAATTAAATGTAGCACTGATCAACCTATCTAAAAGAAATTTAAAAAAATTATGGGACTTTGATACTCTCTAACAATATTAAAACAAGCAAATTATTATGTCTCTCAGCTGTAAATGACAGACTGAACGCCACCCCCCCCCTCTTTTTTTCCCCCATGTTCAAAAAAATAATACAGGCAAAAGTCATTAAGTCCTAACATACTATATCTTTGGTCCTCCTGGGGTCACAGCCAGGTAAAAAAAAAAAACAACAAAAAAAACAACTGAATGGCTACATTCGCTCCCGGCTCTTTCAGTTTCGCCATTTGGATTCCCCAGCTTTAAACGTAAGCTCTGTGGGAACATAGACGAATGCTACCAAACATTGGGAAATTTCCCCCAGCCTAATATTCTACGTTCGCGGAAATTATTGGACTAGATGAAAACCTCAAACGGGGTGATGAATTGCACGCTGTGTTCTAACCATTTGCTTGGTCAATATTTGATCAAATAAAATTGCTTTGGGGGTTGTTTGGGTGGACCGGTGGAATGCGGTCTCGTTCACAGTGCACTGGGCCGAGTTCGTCGATAGCCATCAACCCTGTCAGGACTTATGAAGATACCTTTCAGCTTGTTACTGAAGGCAGGGGCATACCCATGTCAGCCTAACTGGGTCGTTATATTTTCAACTTGCAGCTGTAAGCAATGGCGGCGCCATGAAACCATAGAAAGGGGTTATAGCGTTGAGCGTGTTGCTTTAGGCAGGGGCAGAACCACGACACCGTAGCATGGATGATACTTTTTGAACTTGTTACTTTGGCCACGTGCAGCGGCGGAGCCAAAGCAAAATTCAAAAATAGGAAAACGAACGTGAAGATAGGATTTCTTTTTTTTTTAAGCAGGTACTGAGAATATATTAAATATTTGCATGTTATGGTCGCCAACCCAGTGCTAGAGTACAGAGTGCATATAAAATAGTGTGATGTTATGGTTGCCAACCCCAGTGCTAGAGCACAGAGAGCATATAAAATAGTGGGATGTTATGGTCGCCAACCCCAGTGCTAGAGCACAGAGAGCATATAAAATAGTGGGATGTTATGGTCGCCAACCCCAGTGCTAGAGCACAGAGAGCATATAAAATAGTGGGATGTTATGGTCGCCAACCCCAGTGCTAGAGCACAGAGAGCATATAAAAATAGTAGGATGTTATGGTCGCCAACCCCAGTGCTAGAGTACAGAGAGCATATAAAATATTGGGATGCTATGGTCGCCAACCCCAGTGCTAGAGTACAGACAGTTTATAAAAAAATTGGGATGTTATGGTCGCCAAAACAAGGGCTAGAGTAAAGACAGTATATAAAATATTGGAACGTTTAAAAAAATAGATAATTGNCCCCCCCCCCCCCCCACACACACACACATTTCATTCCCTCCCCACCACACACACACATTTCATTCAATAAAAGGTTAGAAACTCAAACATCACTTTTTAAAGTTTGAATTTTTAAAATTTGTATTTCTCATCGTCGAAAAAAACTTTGACTCACAGCTGCAAACAACCAAGTATCAAATGTACGTTCCTCAGACAGTTCTAAGCCTGTCTCCAATATCCCGACTTCACCCTGCTGATCACTGTCCAGTGATGTCTTCAAGAAAAGAACCATGTCGATACATACAAAGCATGTTCATTGCTGCCTCCCTGTTCTCTGTATAGGTAGCCCTATTCTTCATCACCACCATTTTCTAACGCCGTCCCCAGTACCTCGGCTTTCAACTGTTCAATCTTTTCCCCCAGGGCCAGCAAAGCTTCCATCGTTGCCGTCTTCAGAGCAACAAAGTGGGGATCCCTGCTTAAGTTCGAGTGGCCGCCAGTTTGGTCAACATCACTTCCGGTTGTTTCAAATGGGTCGGCCATGGGGATCTGATCTGAAACTGGGTTTAACATGATACTTTGGTTAAGGCAAACTCAACTGAAACGAGGTTTAACACGATGAATTAAATATGACAATCCATTCGGAAAGTGCATTTAACATAATGCTTTATAAATGCTACATACTATTTCAAAAAAGATTATATTAAACTTGAGTTGGTTAAATGTGTTTTTTTTTTTTTTTTTTTTTTTTTTTTTTTAATTATTATGAGGCAATGGTGTCTAGTTAGAGTGAAGAGAAGAATGGGACTACCGGTATGTAATAAAATTTTGGTCAGAAGAGTAGCTTGGTATTGCATATGTGTCCAAAGAGACTCAACAGATAATAACAAAACACATGCTTTGAAGAGACTTTAGTGAGAAGGGCTACGTGGTACGGCAAAGGTATCTAACAAGACTTATAAGGTCATGAAAACACATCATCTTTTAAGTGACAAGAATTTAGTTAGAAGCGCTCCTTAGTACGGCACATGTGTCTAGTGAGACTGAATAGACAATGACAACTCATTTTGTTTTTAAGTGGGAAGACTTTAGTGTGACGGTGTACAGCACCTGCATTTTGTGAAGAATCGTTGAGCTGAATTCCTGATTCACCCTCTTGCAGAAGCTGCCTCAGGTCTTCCTGTTGTTTCTGCTGCTGCTGTTCGTGAAAAGTCATTCTCAGGATGACATCAGCTGAGCTGTACCCGACGATGTCACACTGATACTTGTCACTGATGTGTGATACCAACTTCCAGTAGATGCCTGCAGGTGACAGCATTAGGCATATTGGGAACAACATGAGGCCTGGCATGGTTGATTCCAGCAGACCAAATTTCTGAAATATGTTAGTATATAGCGGACATGATTGATTCAAGCAGACCGAGTTTCTGAAATATGTTAGTATATAGCGGACATGATTGATTCAAGCAGACCGAGTTACTGTAATATGTTAGTATAAAGTGGACATGACATCGAGCACGATTGCAAGGCTTCCTACCAAGTGCAGTCGAACTATTTTACTAAACGCAGAAACAGGTTGGGACATGATTACAGTTGCCGTATGGATATGAGGTGAAGGTGTGTGGCAACCTTTCACCGGTGATTTTAAATATGCAGTCTTGAGGGTACTGCTCCAAGGCAACCTCTCTCTCCCATCTACGGTGTGAATTAGTCGCACCGTAGAATAACCATACAAACCCTAGTAGAGGGCGTCGGTCTTAAACAACTACGCGGTCCCCCCGGGGTGGTAAGGGGGGACTTTAGAGACGTTAAATATCCACCCCAACCCCTTAGAAAGTCCGGCCCTGTTGCTGCGTGAGCAGCAATCCGGCTGGCCAGGTGTTTCTTCTCTGGGGCTGCCACACTCAGCGGCCAATCGAGTGGAGGTCGAGTGTGGCGGTCTTAGGGGCGGAGCGTCCCTGGCGTGCCGCTTCGCGGCCCGATCGGAATAAAGACCACTGGGGGAGTGGTTGACGGCCGGTTTGGTTGGCGGGGTGGTGCGTTGGGGAGGACCATATGAGCCTCAAGGCTCGGTGTTCGCTGATTTTCTTAAGTTAGTTAGTTAGTGGACATGATTGATTCAAGCAGACAGAATTTTGTAATATGTTAGTACTAGCGAATATACCTGGTGTTTCTGTCGTATTTCCATTAACTTTGACATATGCGCCAGGTAAAAAAAAAAAAAAAAGTAAAGGCTATTGTAAAAAAAACAAAAAAAGAAGAACCCATTAATTTGTCTCCTATAAAAACACATTTAATAACAACCTTTCGTTACCCGACTGGTTCCCAAATCGGATCATGTTTTCCGATGAAACCCGTTTTCCGATGACATCCCGGTCCTGATGAGATCCCTATAATTCTTATAGTATCTCGATACCGATCGGTTCCCGATCGTGGTTGGATCCCGATCCCGTTGGGTTCCCGATCCCTTTTCCCGATGGGATCACGATCCCGATGATACCCCGATCACGGTTGGACCCCTTTCCTGTTTGATCCCGATACCGGTCGGATCCCGTTTCGCGGTTGGATCCCAAACCCGGTGGGATCCTGATCTTGTTGGGATCCGCATCCCTGCGGTATCCGGCTTCCCAGTGGAATCCCGATCCCGTCTGTCTCCCGATTTCAGTGTATCCCGATCCCGGTGGTATCCCGTTTTCCGGGGAGATCCTCTTTTCTGGCGGGATCAAGGTACCCTATAGGATCCCAATCCAGGTTTGATAACGTTACCAGTGGGTTCATTTTTACTGTTTGATGTGGTTCCCCAATAGGATCCTGTTCCTCGGCGTCATGTTTTCAGTGGAATTTTGCTTCGGTAAGATTATGAAGAGAAAATCCAAAGGAAAGTATAGAAATGAATAGATCTAAGCTAACATTCCTTTGAACGTTTAGATCCCATTACATTTCCCCGTGGAACAATAAAACACTTTCTGGAACATTCTGGATTAAATTTAATATCCTCCTCGAAACGTGTGAAAATGGGACTTTTCTTCGTAATTACTTTTCGAATACGAACAAGTCTACAATTAAACACACAACTATAACTAAAGCACGTTTAAGTGAAAGAGGGGCTACGACGGTGGCCCATTCCATAAGTGTACAGTTTTAGTTATGCCTGAGATAGAGGGCCCTATAAAAAGTCAGTCAAAAAAATCATCAAATTAGAATTTAAAGTTTACCCATTTAAATCGGATTGAAATTGATTGAGATAGACAATAGCTTTTTTAAAATTATTACAATTTCTGGAAAAGTCTAGACAAGCCCAGAATAAATTGGATACTATACATTTAAAATTCATCAACATTTCAATCAATATGGACTAAGGAGTGTATTGCTACCAAGCTAGGCCTATATCCTTCAATGCACACAAAACCTACAGCGTTGACTAAGCCTATTGATACGTATATAGCTTATATAAGGAAAAATGAAATGGGGTCCCGGGCCCCAGAGGAATGGATAGTATTATTTTATTATCCCTTATTATTTGAATATAGATTATAAAGTTTATGTGTACTAAGTTTGGTCAAGATTTATCCATTCATGTAGAAGCATTAGTTGGTCTTTTTATTTATATAGCTTATTAAAAGGAAACTTGAATTCAGTGCCCCTGCCCCTGGCCCCAAACGGAATGTTATAAACAGTTCATAAACACCCAAGAGTTTTTTTCCGGATTATGATGTCCATGTTTGCCTTGTCTGTTCAAATCCATCAAGACATGTAGAAACGTATGCGTGAAAAACGCCCCCAACAAACCCATACACTTTCACTTGTCTACATGTTATAATATACAGATGACGTGGTGAATTCCTGCAAAGCTCGTGTCATTTCATGAGCTTCTTGAAGGGCGGTAATACATTGATAGTTTTAGCGCTTTTTCAAGTGAATTACTTCCCTTCTTGTATCTATTCCACTCCTTCATCGTTATAGCGTTAGCTTTTTATTCACCGACAAGTATCATATTTATACGCTTAATAAACAACTCCTAAACTCAAGGTTTGTCATAGAAACCCTTTTATAACATGTATAATCGAGCAATGGGTGAGCGGGACGGAACATTTGATCAAACAAACATTCAAGTAACGAGCTTTATGTGTAACCCAATTAGTGATCCCCACACCTCCCACAAGGCTCGCGACCGCACATTTTTTGACGCCCCTGGACTATATTGATATTCTAATGACCCACCCGCCTTAACAGCGCATATTTGTTTCATCAACTTTTTCAGAAAAAAAACAAAGAAAATTTTACGAACCAAACGCACTTGCAATATTTTTGTTTTAAGAATCTCATTTGTCGGGAATTTTCCTTCCTATTCCCCTAGAAAAAACAACAACAGGGAAAGCTGATTTTGGGGGGTTGGAGTAAAAAGGGGGGGGTGAAATTTGTAACAACATTTTGTCATTGGCAACGAGACAATGTGCCACGTTTCAGCTCGATAGTTTGGCGGAAAGTGGGTTAATTTCCCGTCCGAATATTTTACCTCCCAGCCAGCCACAAACAAAAGCGAAGTTAATATAGAGGATTTAAAAAATAGAAATAAACTTAACTCATGGGAAAGATCCAACATATTCCCAAATTCCATGCCATCGATCATTTTTATTCATTTTTTTAAAAGATATTAATTTTAAAAAACTATTTATTCTTCAATTTGAGATAGGTTCATAATAAAAAGTTTTTCTTTTGTGATTTTTTTTTATTTTTAAAATAGGAATATTGTCTGATTTTTTAAACTTGGTTATATGTTAATAATTAAGCTTTTGTTAAATGGTTTTATGCTTTTTTTTAATATAGTCAACCCCCTAGATATCGGTTGTTTACCATTGTGGGTTGATCATTGTAACTGTGGACGCACATTTGTTTTTGAAAACTTTGATCAACCTGTACGGTTAAATTAATTTAAGAGCGTTACTGACACAGTAAACCAGCATAGCATGTTAATGTTGATAGCTAGTGCAATCATTTAATGTTGTCAACTAGTGTAAGCTTTTGGTGTTGACATTACAAAGTCTCTCGAGCAAAAAACCAAACTGCCAAAGATCTTGCTAATACAAACATCTCAACAAAATGTATCCAAAATCTATAACTAAGATGTCGGCTATGACAATTCCATCAGGCAAAGTTTCCATCACCTGCCCCACCGCCATCCAATTAGTCTGTTCGTTGCTTTCTAAGGATACATTTTCCTACTTTCTCCACGCTCGGACTTCTTATTTCATCCATGCTACCACTTCTTATTTCATCTGTGCAATGGCTTATTTTATCCAAGTTATGGTTTATTTCATCCATGCTATGATTTATTTCATCCATGCTATGGCTTATTTCATCCATGCTATGACTTATTTCATCCATGCTATGGCTTATTTCATCCATGCTATGGCTTATTTCATCCATGCTATGGCTTATTTCATCCATGCTATGACTTCTTATTTCAACCATGCTATGGCTTATTTCATCCATGCTATGACTTCTTATTTCATCCATGCTATGACTTCTTATTTCATCCATGCTATGACTTTTTTCATCCATGCTATGGTGTAGGCCTATTTCATCCATGATATAGCTTATTTCATCCATGATATAGCTTATTTCATACATGCTCTGGCTTATATTATCTGTTATACAGCTCATTTCATCCCGTATTTCATCCACGCACAGACTTATATCATCCATTTTACGGTGTATTTCAGCCAAAAAATGGCTTATTTCATCCGTATGGTGTATTCATCCATGCTATGGCTTATTTCATCCGTATTGTGTATTCATCCATGCTATGGCTTATTTCATCAGTATGGTGTATTCATCCATGCTATGGCTTATTTCATCCGTATGGTGTATTCATCCATGCTATGGCTTATTTCATCCGTATGGTGTATTCATCCATGCTATGGCTTATTTCATCTGTATGGTGTATTCATCCATGCTATGGCTTATTTCATCCGTATGGTGTATTCATCCATGCTATGGCTTATTTCATCCGTATGGTGTATTCATCCATGCTATGGCTTATTTCATCCGTATGGTGTATTCATCCATGCTATGGCTTATTTCATCTGTATGGTGTATTCATCCATGCTATGGCTTATTTCATCCGTATGGTGTATTCATCCATGCTATGGCTTATTTCATCCATATGGTGTATTCATCCATGCTATGGCTTATTTCATCCGCATGGTGTATTCATCCATGCTATGGCTTATTTCATCCGTATGGTGTATTCATCCATGCTATGGCTTATTTCATCCATATGGTGTATTCATCCATGCTATGGCTTATTTCATCCGTATGGTGTATTCATCCATGCTATGGCTTATTTACACAACAATTAATGAGCTAAAAAGGGT